TTATCGAGGTGGCTTTCCTGATGATCATTTAAACTGCCATTTTATCGAGGTGGCGGACCTGATGATCAATTACACTGCCATTTTATCGAGGTGGCGGACCTGAATCTTACCTAATCCGATCTATATAGATATGGTATTTGGCGGACCTCAAAACAGACCATAATTTAGTTCACTCAATTAGCAGACTTTGAATAAACAGGTGTCCGCTCTTACCTTTTGTCGAACAGGGCCCAGGCACAGTCAAAAGTCCACCAAATATCAGCTTTTCCACGTCCAACCGGGGTCTCCAGATCATGAACCAGCGCTCACTAGTACCGGGAACTAGTTTCCATCGGCAGAGACCAATCGCACGTCAAAAATCCCCGGAATGTGGACATGGGAAAACAATTTTAAACGCTCAGTCCAAAAAACAGGACACAAAAAAATATAGTGAGACAGCGAAAAAGAGTCCCGGAGCCGGTCGCCTCTCCAGCCTGCTAGACCGCTCCCAGGCCCCAGACACTCTCAGCTCTCCCACGCCGAGAAAAAGAAACAAAGCAAACTCCCTCAAAACAATCCAGAGAATGGCACACACGGAGCCGCGCATTCTCCACCAAATCTGTTAGGGATGAATCAGACAGAGACGGATCGTGGTGTGCCAAACTCTGGAAGTTTATTTAAGTTTCTCTCAAGTTCCACTGGTTTACTCTGTTTCTTTCTCTCAGACAGAATAAAGGCAGTACACAGTTTATATAGTCATTGTCACGTCACACATGGAAAGACATACGTGTCACAAAGAGACAGTCACATCATAGTCATAACATGGAGTCCTTGTAGAGTCCTCGTACAGTCCTGCACGTAGGCCATATTGCTATCTAATACTAACACTACTGTCGCCCTTAATGCAACACATGGACCCCCAAATGACAACAAAAGCTTTTGATGCAGTAGATACTAATAAAATGAATCAAAATTCAATTGACATCACAATGATGATATGTGCATTTATTTAGGGGACTTTTGATACCATAACATTTTTTAACATCACTTTCGGTTTAAGTTTTTGTCCTGTTCATATTTTGATTTTTTAATGCATGCTCAAAGTATGTTAGTTTCTGGAATACAAGATGCACCTGATTAAAAGCCACAGGCTCTAATTTTTTGAAAGAAATTCAATTTAGTACTTTTATAAGCCGCACCAGATTACAAGCCACAACTATCCCACGTTGATCGGTGCAGCGTGCGCAGTGATGCGGTCGCTGTATTGGACCGTTGTGGTGAAGAGGGAGCTGAGCCGAAAGGCAAAGCTCTCGATTTACCGGTCTATTTTTGTTCCCTCCCTCACCTATGGTCATGAGCTTTGGGTAATGACCGAGAGAACGAGATCGCGGATACAAGCGGTCGAAATGAGCTTCCTCCGCAGAGTGGCTGGGCGCTCCCTTAGAGATAGGGTGAGGAGCTCAGTCACACGGGAGGAGCTCTGAGTAGAGCCGCTGCTTCTCCACATCAAGAGGAACCAGTTGAGGTGGCTCGGGCATCTGTTCCGGATGCCTCTTGGCCGTCTCCCTGGGCAGGTGTTCCGGGCCAAGATTACTTGGATAGGTCAAATAATGAAGGAGTTAGGATATGTTAAGGGCTTCCTGCCCATCTTGGACGCCATCTTGAAAATTACACCTTTCTAGTGGTCAAACTTTGGTAAACTTTTAGTATGTTATTAAGGAGACCTAATACTACAAAGAACATCTGAGAAACCATTTGTTCGAAGTTTTTTAGGGTTAGGTGTTTTTTTTTCCATATACAGTATGCAGCCGCCTATATGCAGAACAGCAGTGGGGACCAAGCATCTCCTTGGTAGATGCCGCTTTGATGGCGAGATGCTTTCCATTGCCCTCAAGGATGGTCCACATCTCAATTGATTATTTGACAAAGTCCCTGAGAGCCCTGTGGATTATTTACAACTTCAAGCATGCCATGCATGCCATGATCTCAGTGTGCAACTCAGTGTGTGACATTGAGTTGTAGGCTTTCTGGTAATCAAGGCAGTGCACAGGTTGGAAGTAGAATGTTCTTCATTCGTCCCACAGTGGGGACATTTCAGTTTAATTAATACATATACATATCAAGTAAAGGTGCACTAATCGATCGGTAGCCAATTATAATCGGCCAATCACGGCTTAATTTGCGTGATCGGTGACCGGTTATATGTGCTGATCAAAAAGACGATAAGGGTTCATGCGCACAAGTTACTTTCTCTCGTCAAAATTGCATAAACAAGCAACTCATGCAGCTCTCAGTTACGGAGACCCTACAGCGGCAACAACCATAGAGTAAAGATAGTAAACCAAAACAAAATATGCACAAAAGTTATGGAATTTATTTCCCTCTGCCACCAGTCCTTATCTATCGTGGAAAGCGCTGGGTTCAAACGACTCATGTCCTATATGGATCCACTGCTTCTATATGCCATCGTAGAAATATTTGACTGATGTCTGCCTGCCGCAGCTTTACCAAACTGTTTATTCTCACATTGACACTCCAAGCCCAGCCAGTCACACAGCGCAGGCTCACCGAACACACTCAGCAGAGAGGCACTGAACTCCGAGCCACAGGCAATAACGTACCGTGTCAATACTTTGCACGCTATGTTCACAGAAATGTCGGAGGAAGATGAGTGTAGTGGTAGTACAGACAGTCCTACAGTGTCGCTGATGCAGCTTTACCTAGCGAAACTAGTTACGCCTCGAAGCGAACAGCTGCTTTTTCATTGGAAGGAAAATATAAGCTGCTATCCTGCTTTGGCCAAAGCTTTCCTCTACACTCCATGCACAAGCGTAGACAGCGAGCGGCTGTTTACGCAGCGGGACTACTCTGGATGATAAACGTAATAAACTGTGGTTCAGTGGAGTAAAACTAACAACCTCCAGTTGAACGCATCGAAAACATGTGAACAGTCGCAATAGTTCTCATTTGTCTGTCGTAATTGACAACTCCCAGGTGCAGATCGTAGAGGAGTGCAAGTTTCTGGGTTTAACTCTGTCTAACGACCTGAAATGGGTTAAAAACACTGACCGAGTCGTTAAGAAAGCTCGTCAGCGTCTCTACTTTCTGCGTAAACTTAGAGAATTTACCACTAACTCTAAGATTCTGCTTAACTTTTATCGCTGCACCATTGAAAGTTTACTTGTTGGTTCTGTGTCTGTGTGGTTTGGAAACATCACAGATAAAGAAAAGAGAGCTTTAAACAAGGTGCTCCGCTCTGCAAAGAGGACCGCGGGCTGTGAGCTTCCTGTTCTGGAGGTTCTTTATAAATCCAGACTTTTAAACAACGCTTGTTAATGACTCTTCTGGCCACCCTGGAAAAAACATGTTCCAGCTTCTTCCCTCTGGCAGAAGATAACGCTCTCTGAGATGCAGGACATCTCGTTACGCTAACAGTTTTTATCCACAAGCTGTTATCAGTGTGAACAGAGCACTTTAATGATTTGCACTTGTTTTGAAACTGTTTTAGTCGATCAATTTTACAGTGACATTTGTTTACTGTTTTATTTGTATTATTTCTGTCTTTTAATGTTGTTTTATGTCTGTATTTGTCTGTGCACACTGGTGACTTTTGCTAATGTATTCCAATATGTTTTTTTTTTTTACTGCAAATGGCAAATAAACTGAATCTGATTCTGAAACTAACCCCTGCAAATGCGGAGATGCTAATATTCCTGAAAAAAAACATTGCCTTAACTATCCCAACTTAATCAGTTTAGAAATGCAGCATAGACAGTATTACTGTATTTCATAGCATTTTTTCTTTTTTTTATGTATCTCAATGCTCTGTAACGTATACTTGTGAGTACCCCTAGGTCTTTATATTTATACTTCTAGTATCTTGATGGTTTTGAAAGATTATTTATAAGGTTATAAAGTGAACAACTAGTCCTATTCATTTATCACTAAAAATAGTCGGATAATAATCGGATCGGCCATGATCGGCATCGGCAAGTCGATATTTTAATGATCGGCCAAAAAATTCCTGATTGGTGCACCTCTAAAATCAGTGCAGTGAAAATTACATATGCGCTCTTTACAGGCAAAATGGTTTAAGTGTCTTTCCCAAGGACACAACGACAGCAGAGATTCACGACCTTCAGGCTCAAAGGCCAACGATCTACCAACTGAGCCACTGTCTCCCCAAAAGAACTATGCAGCTACCACCCCCAATGTGTGCCGGGATTGCCCACTTACCTTCGTCGCAGTGATGCCTAACATGAGATTTCATGTTGTGGAGAGACATGTTATTGGCTGGTAGTTGGAAGGGACTGCACCATTAAAAGGGTCCTTCAGGATCAGGATCGTTCGTCCTTCTGTTAGTAAATCTGAATCCAATCCAATCCAATCCACTTTATTTATAGGGCACATTATAGAAAACATGTTTCCAAAGATTAAAATATGCTGTCTGCTAACTTCAAATAAAAACAATTAAAATAACTAAAGCAATAGGCCCTTACCCCAGTTAGGCTCAAGCCTAATAAAGTAAATAAAAAAATAAATACATCAACTAACTACATAAATAAACATAAAACAATAGGAAAAAAAATACATAAAACAATAAAATAAATAAAGTGGTGGACCACACAAATCACGCGGTGTTAAAAGCCAGAGCGTAAAAATTACGAGACTTAAAACATTCCAACGATGGAGCTGTTTTGATGGGGGGTGCTCATGGAGTACTATGAGTTTCCTTAGACCATTTCAGAGCTAGGTGCTGTCAGGTTTTTCATACCTGGGACTCTTTCTCGGATGTCTGCCTCTGAAAGCAGCAGAAAGGATGATGGTGTTAGAGAGGGTGTATAAGTCTGTCAATGAAGTTCCTCTCCAGAGCAGACAGAGTGTCCTGCAGAGGGTGATATTCATATTAGTTTGTTAAGGATCCTCCTGCCCCCCCATCAAGAGATGGGATGAATCTTCTAAACATATCATTGTGGAAATAATTGAAAATTTGCATTACTATTTTATAGGAAAACAAGAGGATGAAGCGACGAATTCTACTCCTATTTTTAGGTAATATATTTATTACAGAATATCCTATGATGATTTTTTGTAGTGACTCAATGTTTGTTTCTTTTTGATTTACAGGGGTACATTTAGTAGTCAGCTCGTCACACACTATGGCTCCAACAGATTAAAAATCGATTGAGTCTAATTGCAAATAGCTTCTCCAGAAAGTAATGATATTGGGCGATAATTGGAAAATTCTGCTTTGTTTCCTTTTTATAAAGTGGAATTACTTAAGCTATTTTCATGGTGTCTGGATGCAAATATGGGTAAAAGGTTCAATAATGACCTCTATAATTAGCTTTATCAGTGTCATACTCATATCTGTATAGTCGGCAGATTTCTTATTCTCACACTTCTGAACAATTTTCAATATCTCTCTAGCCTGCACACGTTCGAGAAAAATTAGAATCAACCAAAAAATGAGAAATAAACCAAGCAGCTCTATAAGATTTATTCAGGAACAAACAATGGGATTACAGTCATAGCATGTGAGATAGTCATTTCACAAACTATACGTGTGCAATAAAAGCAAAAACAAAAACATAATTTCAGATACGTTTGGTGCTCTCAGCAGTAAAAAGCTTTCATTTGAACATGACGTAGCTGATTTTAAAATGCACCAACGCGTTTCAGCAACTCGCCTTTCTTAGTGTGCATTTTTTTCTGCTTTTTTCCAAGCAGACAGACTTCTATTTTAAAAAAGTATAAGGGTCTATGTACTTTTGCTTTCATTGTTTTTTTCAATTTTCAAACGAAAATAGAAAATCAAAAGTTAAATTTTCTTTTTTTAAATAAAATAACATTTTCTTTGCCAAGGTTCCTAAGCTCTGTCAAGCTGACGCTAAGAAACAGGAAAAGTACTGGGGACTATGAAAACTCACGGGACACAGACAGACTGGATTAACTAAACCCGGACTCAGTCAGAAACCAGAAGGTTCACGTCCTATAGCTGGAATAGATCCACCTGAGAAATTAAATTAATTTCTGAATGGACTCCAAATTGAATTAATCTTGTCTGTAAACCAGTGTATGTCATTTCTTGGAACATATTTATCCTTTTATTTGTTTAGTAATGGACTGAGGAAAGACTCGCTAATTGCAATGCTAAGGCATCTGAGGGACCTGAAGCTCCCTCCCCAAGTGGTTAAAAACTTCTACACCTGCACCACTGAGAGCATTCTGATGGGGAGCATCGCGGTGGATGGGAGGCTGCACCCAGCATGACCACTTGGCCTTCAGGAGAGTGGTCCGCTCAGCGGAGAGAACCATCAGGATGGACCTCCCTCAATTGGAGGACATCCTCATCCAACGATGCCAGAGAAGAGCCCAGAAGATTGTACGGGACAGCAGCCCCCCTGATTATGGACTGTTCACTCTGCTGCTGTCTCCTCAAAACCAACACTGAGAGAATGAGAAGGATTTTCTTTCCTGAAGCCATAAGACTGCTAAACCGGACCTCACTCTGTCTCTGTTCTGGTTCTGTGTAGTTATTGTGTGTTCTGAATGCTGTACTGAACATCTGCTGGAGGTGCATAGGAATAGGACAACAAATAAACTAAACCTAACTAAAACTAAACTAAACTACAGCTAATTTTATCCCTATAATTAAACAAATAAATAAATCATAGATTGGATGTTTGATCACTGAGGACCGCGCACATTCAAATTTATGAAGGACACTTGGAGTGGGAGATAAAACCACGTACAATCATGTGTGTCTAGGTGGCGGGCGAGGGGATGTACTTGCATTACATTGACAGATGCAAGTCCATTGATTCAGAGCGTTGTCAGAGTATGAATTAAAGAAAGGCCCAAGGGGTACGTTAGACAAAAGGCTGGGAACCACTGCATTAGTGTACAAAAATAAAAATACTTTTGCTTATGAGCTGTGACCAAAAGATTACAAACAGACTTTCCAGAGCAACTTGAACAAAAGAAGTGCATTTTTTTAACCTGCCAACATCAGAACATAACTGTCGGTGACGGTGCGTGATCTGTAGAGTGAGTGATGTGATGACGTAGGCCAAATGTGGAAAATAGACCCCGCCCCTCTGAGTAATTTGACCTAGTTTAGTAATCAGTGCTTAACATCATTATTTCAAACCAGCCTATTTTGACAAAAAACATATGAGAGTAAGCAATGACTACTAAACAGTTCACAAGATTACAAGATCCGGGTTTACAGTGTGTCTTTATATAATTTTTGTATTTATTTGACTGGGACAGTGCATGTCAATATACAAACATATAAAAACACTGATATAACAATGCCAGATAATATATAAAGGCTAATTTCCATCTGTTATGCACTCACGCATTCTTCAGCTTTGGATCAAATGCACTTAGTTACACCCAAAAACAGTTTTTCTCCAAAGATTTTACTCGCACAAAGGAATCAATGAAAAATTATACTCTGGGCATGTGCTTGAAGGCCAAATAGTACTGTAATAATGTTAAACCAGAGAAAAGGAAAATAGTGTAATATGGGGCCTTTCAAGGATAGTGTAGAATCCAACAACACCCCTAATTATTCAAGTAATGTTACTAGTTATAGGGATCACATTGGAGCGGTCAATGTTAGACTCCTTTTTAAAGAACATCATACAAACAGTTTTCTGTTTGTTTCAAAGAAGACAGGATCTAGTTAGCAAATTCTGAATATTTTCAAGTGCTGGTATAGGATTTCTTGCAGCTTCCTCGGATGATTTTGCACTTCAATAGATCACTGGATCTTTGGCATATAATTGTACATAAACACCTTTACAAAAGTTGCGCAGATCATTTATAAATGGCGAGAAAAAGATATGCCAAAGAACAGATCCTTGGAAGACTCCTAGTGAACAGCTTAAAAAAAACATTATTTCACTCCATTGACCACAAACGCTTTTCTGTTAGACAAATATAAAACCATTAATTGTATGGCTTTCTCCGAAAAAAATAAGAAACACAGTCTAGACAAAAGTATATCATGGTTCACTACATCAAATGCTTTTCTCGAATTTAGAAATACTGTCTGTTCTTACTGAAACTGTTCTGTTCTTACAGTAATATCAACTACCACAACTATGCCTCCAACAACCACCACAACTATGCCTCCAACAACTACCACAACTGAGCCTCCAACTACTACCACAACAGAGCCTCCAACAACCACCACAACTATGCCTCCAACAGCTACCACAACTATGCCTCCAACAACTACCACAACTGAGCCTCCAACTACTACAACAACTATGCCTCCAACAACCACCACAACTATGCCTCCAACAACCACCACAACTATGCCCCCAACTACTACCACAACTGAGCCTCCAACAACCACCACAACTATGCCGCCAACAACTACCACAACTATGCCTCCAACAACTACCACAACAGTGCCTCCAACAACTACCACAACAGAGCCTCCAACTACTACAACAACAGAGCCTCCAACAACCACCACAACTATGCCTCCAACAACCACCACAACTGAGCCTCCAACTACTACCACAACTATGCCTCCAACAACTACCACAACTATGCCTCCAACAACCACCACAACTATGCCTCCAACAACCACCACAACTATGCCCCCAACTACTACCACAACTGAGCCTCCAACTACTACCACAACTGAGCCTCAAACAACCACCACAACTATGCCGCCAACAACTACCACAACTATGCCTCCAACAACTACCACAACTATGCCTCCAACAACTACCACAACAGTGCCTCCAACAACTACCACAACAGAGCCTCCAACTACTACAACAACAGAGCCTCCAACAACCACCACAACTATGCCTCCAACAACTACCACAACTATGCCTCCAACAACTACCACAACTATGCCTCCAACAACCACCACAACTATGCCTCCAACTACTACCACAACTATGCCTCCAACAACTACCACAACTATGCCTCCAACAACCACCACAACTATGCCTCCAACAACCACCACAACTATGCCTCCAACAACCACCACAACTGAGCCTCCAACTACTACCACAACTATGCCTCCAACAACCACCACAACTGAGCCTCCAACTACTACCACAACTATGCCTCCAACAACTACCACAACTATGCCTCCAACAACTACCACAACTATGCCTCCAACAACTACCACAACTATGCCTCCAACAACCACCACAACTATGCCTCCAACAACCACCACAGCTATGCCTCCAACAACCACCACAACTATGCCTCCAACAACCACCACAACTGAGCCTCCAACTACTACCACAACTATGCCTCCAACAACCACCACAACTATGCCTCCAACAACTACCACAACTGAGCCTCCAACTACTACCACAACTATGCCTCCAACAACTACCACAACTATGCCTCCAACAACCACCACAACTATGCCTCCAACAACCACCACAACAGAGCCTCCAACTACTACCACAACAGAGCCTCCAACAACTACCACAACTATGCCTCCAACAACCACCACAACTATGCCTCCAACAACTACCACAACATGCCTCCAACAACTACCACAACTATGCCTCCAACTACTACCACAACAGAGCCTCCAACAACTACCACAACTATGCCTCCAACAACTACCACAACTATGCCTCCAACAACTACCACAACAATGCCTCCAACAACCACCACAACTATGCCTCCAACTACTACCACAACTATGCCTCCAACAACCACCACAACTATGCCTCCAACAACTACCACAACAATGCCTCCAACAACCACCACAACAGAGCCTCCAACTACTACCACAACAGAGCCTCCAACAACCACCACAACAGAGCCTCCAACAACCACCACAACTGAGCCTCCAACAACTACCACAACTGAGCCTCCAACAACTATAACCCCACCAACAATTACGTTTAACCTTATAATGACTCTTAATCAAACTTTTACAGATGATCTCAATAACCCAGTTTCTGATGCCTATACGGCTTTGGCAAATGCAGTACTCAATGCGGTAAGAAATACCTTAGCAGGGCAATATCATAATGACTATGACAATTAACAAATAATTAATTCAAAGTTATCCCCCCCTCCTTACATTTTTGCAGCTCACTTCTACGTTCAGGAATACACCAGGATTTAAAAGGGCCAATCTCAATGGATTCAGGTACAGATTACCAAATTATCTTCATTTGTAGATAAAATACTCTATAAACTTCAACCATTTATAGCATTTTTTTGTTCAATGTTTTGCTTCTATTTCAGACAAGGGTCCGTGATTGCGAATACTTCATTAGAATTTCAAGAAGAATCAACAGTAAATTCCTCAACCATTATTAGCACCTTAGCTGATGCTGTTGACAACGGAACTGTGAATCTGCCAATCAATACAACAAGTATTCGAGCAACTGAGGGTAATTCCTGTAATAATTGATACTATTAGAGTCAATATCTGCACTGTAAACCTGGATAGTGGGCAAAACGAATGTTTCTTAAGGAAACTCGTTCCCTCAATAAAGATTAGTTTTATAAAGACCATAAACATAACAATATAAATTCATTAAACACAGTCTTTACTAACACTCATTAGCTCAATAGCCTATCTCATAAGTTGTTTGTACTAATCTGTTTTAGTTTTATAAATACCATGAACATAACAATACAAGTTCATTCAACAGTCATGTATTAGTCTTAAGGTTATGAACTCTAGAACTCTCAGATTGAGAAACAATAATGCTTGCAACTCAATTAGAGCTTAGTTTCAGTCAAGTACTGTATGGAAGCAAAGTGACTTTAAATAATACTAGAACATCCTCAAATGATGACCCAGGACGTAAATTGTAACTTTGGCCTGGCCCTGTCGATTACGGTTGGTAAAATTAAATATAATGATTTATTTGGTCAAATTAGTTTATTCAAAATGTTGCTGAAGTATTTTGCATTAGGACTTGCTTCATATTCACTCTCAAAATTAATGCTCAAATGCAGAATTTGTCAGAAGTTTGTTTTTCTCTGCAATGCATTCTGGGTAGCGTCACTGCTTCGCCCAATACATTTGTTTTCAATCAGCACAATATATTTCTTTTGTCATTAATGGACCACCAGGCTTACAAAATACATACTTAAAGTATCTTCACTTATACCAATAAAATCAGTATTGTACAGGGTGCTATGATAATATTATACAGTACTTATGTGTCAACCAAAAATATAAAATAATGAAAAATGAAGTATATAGTAATTACTTAAAATATTTTACATCAACGTTTGGTCTGATTCACTTTTTACAGTGCAGGTGCTTCTTGTTTTATTCATTATGGAGACCCCCCTTCTTCTTCCCTCTCTCATTACAATTCTCCTTCATGACAAAATTGTGCAAAATAAAATAGTAACTGAATAGGAAGTATTCACCCTCACAGGCTCAGGTTAGAGGAACTAGCACAGCAACATTCTCCAACAAACAACAAACCATTTGTATTTTTGATTATTGTGGTCAAATAAGATACATTTTAAAACATGTAACTGTAAAGAGATGTTAGTGTTTAGCCATCCTTTAAGTTGCACAATTTCATTTTACTAATTTGATTTTTTGTCATTCCGTTTCTAACTAATCAGCATATCCATTGAATCAGAGCGTTGTCAGAGTATGAATTAAAGAAAGGCCCAAGGGGTACGTTAGACAAAAGGCTGGGAACCACTGCATTAGTGTACAAAAATAAAAATACTTTTGCTTATGAGCTGTGACCAAAAGATTACAAACAGACTTTCCAGAGCAACTTGAACAAAAGAAGTGCATTTTTTTAACATGCCAACATCAGAACATAACTGTCGGTGACGGTGCGTGATCTGTAGAGTGAGTGATGTGATAACGTAGGCCAAATGTGGAAAATAGACCCCGCCCCTCTGAGTAATTTTACCTGGTTTAGTAATCAGTGCTTAACATCATTATTTCAAACCAGCCTATTTTGACAAAAACATATGAGAGTAAGCAATGACTACTAAACAGTTCACAAGATTACAAGATCCGGGTTTACAGTGTGTCTTTATATAATTTTAGTATTTATTTGACTGGGACAGTGCATGTCAATGTACAAACATATAAAAACACTGATATAACAATGCCAGATTATATATAAAGGCTAATTTCCATCTGTTATGCACTCACACATTCTTCAGCTTTGGATCAGATGCACTTAGTTACACCCAAAAACAGTTTTTCTCCAAAGATTTTACTCGCACAAAGGAATCAATGAAAAATAATACTCTGGGCATGTGCTTGAAGGCCAAATAGTACTGTAATAATGTTAAACCAGAGAAAAGGAAAATAGTGTAATATGGGGCCTTTCAAGGATAGTGTAGAATCCAACAACACCCCTAATTATTCAAGTAATGTTACTAGTTATAGGGATCACATTGGAGCGGCCAATGTTAGACTCCATTTTAGAGAACATCATACAAACAGTTTTCTGTTTGTTTCAAAGAAGACTAATTCTGAATATTTTCAAGTGCTGGTATAGGATTTCTTGCAGCTTCCTCGGATGATTTTGGACTTCAATAGATCACTGGATCTTTGGCATATAATTGTACATAAACACCTTTACAAAAGTCGCGCAGATCATTTATAAATGGCGAGAAAAAGATATGCCAAAGAACAGATCCTTGGAAGACTCCTAGTGAACAGCTTAAAAAACATGATTTCACTCCATTGACCACAAACGCTTTTCTGTTAGACAAATATATAACCATTAATTGTATGGCTTTCTTAGCAAAAAATAGGAAACACAGTCTAGACAGAAGTATATCATGGTTCACTACATCAAATGCTTTTCTCGAATTTAGAAATACTGTCTGTTCTTACTGAAACTGTTCTGTTCTTACAGTAATATCAACTACCACAACTATGCCTCCAACAACCACCACAACTGAGCCTCCAACTACTACCACAACTATGCCTCCAACAACTACCACAACTGAGCCTCCAACTACTACCACAACAGAGCCTCCAACAACTACCACAACTATGCCTCCAACAACCACCACAACTATGCCCCCAACTACTACCACAACAGAGCCTCCAACTACTACAACAACAGAGCCTCCAACAACCACCACAACTATGCCTCCAACAACTACCACAACTATGCCTCCAACAACCACCACAACTATGCCTCCAACAACTACCACAACAATGCCTCCAACAACCACCACAACTATGCCTCCAACTACTACCACAACAGAGCCTCCAACAACTACCACAACTATGCCTCCAACAACTACCACAACAATGCCTCCAACAACCACCACAACTATGCCTCCAACTACTACCACAACTATGCCTCCAACAACCACCACAACTATGCCTCCAACAACTACCACAACAGAGCCTCCAACAACTACCACAACTATGCCTCCAACAACCACCACAACAGAGCCTCCAACAACTACCACAACTATGCCTCCAACTACTACCACAACTATGCCTCCAACAACTACCACAACTATGCCTCCAACAACTACCACAACTATGCCTCCAATAACCACCACAACTATGCCTCCAACAACTACCACAACAATGCCTCCAACAACCACCACAACTATGCCTCCAACTACTACCACAACAGAGCCTCCAACAACTACCACAACTATGCCTCCAACAACTACCACAACAATGCATCCAACAACCACCACAACTATGCCTCCAACTACTACCACAACAGAGCCTCCAACAACTACCACAACTATGCCTCCAACAACTACCACAACTATGCCTCCAACAACCACCACAACTATGCCTCCAACAACTACCACAACTATGCCTCCAACAACCACCACAACTATGCCTCCAACAACTACCACAACTATGCCTCCAACAACCACCACAACTATGCCTCCAACTACTACCACAACAGAGCCTCCAACAACCACCACAACTATGCCTCCAACAACTACAACAACTATGCTTCCAACAACTACCACAACTATGCCTCCAACAACCACCACAACTATGCCGCCAACAACCACCACAACTATGCCTCCAACAACCACCACAACTATGCCTCCAACAACCACCACAACTATGCCTCCAACAACTACCTCAACTGGGCCTCCAACAACTACCACAACTATGCCTCCAACAACTACCACAACAGAGCCTCCAACAACTACCACAACTGGGCCTCCAACAACCACCACAACTATGCCTCCAACAACTACCACAACTATGCCTCCAACAACTACCACAACGGAGCCTCCAACAACAATCACAACTATGCCACCAGCAAGTGCCACAACTGGGCCTCCAACTACTGCCACAACTGAGCCTCCAACTACTACCACAACAAAGCCTCCAACTACTACCACAACAAAGCCTACAACTACCACAACACAACCCCCATTTACTGATCCTCCAAGTGCCAACGAGGGTATAATAGATATCCGGTTTTCTCTAGATCAAGATTTTATTCCAGACTATAGAAATCCAAACTCCGTAGCATATCAAGAATTAGCCGGAAGATGTACCAGAGAAGTAAGAATCATTTTGTATTTGAAAGAATATTAATGAATACCATTACTGGATTTGTTTATGTGTTTATGTTTGTGTTCCAGCTCAATAGAATCGGGAGGGGGAATTCAGGAAACGATTTCAGTCGCTCACTTGTCAGATCATTCACGTAAGGAGCTATTGATAAACTTTTGACATTTTCTATGATTTGGAAAGATGAGAGAAGGGCTATACCGTTTTTACAGTAGTTCTAAAGTGACATGAAGTATTTTTTCCACACAGCTCTGCCCCGTTTGTATGTTTTCACACTCTTGAAGTGAGTAGTGTTGAGCTTCTAAAGCAGGCTATGCTTAAGCCCAGCTTGGTCCGCCGGGAGCAAGGTCAAACTCTTCTCGCGCATAGCCATTTTTAAAAACTGAGGCGAACTTAGACGCGTGGAATGAAAACACACGATTCAGATTAACTGCAGCAAGTGCTTTACACCAATCGTTCTAAGATTAGTTGTGAAGAGAGGATGAATATGATCTTACATGGGCAGAACAAGCACTTCAAAAGATAAAAAGAAAACGCTTTACTGCAGAAATTAGATATTCTTGTTGGTTTTAATGGACTCTCCAGACACAAATTCATGTGATCTAGATATAACTCATTTGAGTAGAGGCAACAGCCAACATCATGTCCTTAAGCAGATGAAGGGCTGAGAATCTGAGGTTGTTTTTCAATGTCACGACCAACTCCCCTATTTCTCTTCCACTGACCCATTATGGCTATTTAAAATCTTGCTATTTCCAAATTAGAAATTTTGGATGCCCTCAATTCCACATAAACGCAATAGGTCCTAGAATCCAGTCTTTTAAAAGGTATATAGGAGCATTTTCTTCTTCCAGGTGGATCATCAAGACTATTGGTCCTCCCACTTGTCAATCATTCTGGTGATACATGCTTGTCAAATTTTAGAGTTTAGTTCAAAAAGTGGAGAGGGCTGTTCTTTCTTAGAATTTGGGAAAATCCTTCTATATGCCTTTAACAAAATATTGGCAGCCTTTTCAATAATAAAATGTAAGTTGTATGTGAAAAGAAAAGTATAAAGGTGATAGCATTTCATCTTTGGGATTAGATGCAACATAAAAGAGAGAACCCGCAAACACTGTAACACACAGGTAAATCAAGGGCACCATACTGCCCGTTCTCTACTGTTGCGCTGTTTCGTTTAGTAAATTACGGATTGTGCCTATATTTATCCTTACAATTGTCTGTAATGATTGCAGACCCGGCTCTGTGGTGGCAAATTGTAGCCTTGTGTATAGAAATAAAGATGTCACACCACCGGTAAATACAACACTTCAACAGTTCATCACAGGACTCACCAATTCTGAAGTATTGAATGTCATTCCGGGCAGTATTGATGCACGTATGTATTTTATCTTAATTATTATTTGACAACTGGTGACCTGCTATGAATAAAACACAATCTTTTCATTTCAGAATCATCTGGAAGAAGTCTCCATCGTACAGTTCTGCCCGTGTCTATTTTGACTCTGATTTTGGTCTCTTTTACACGGATCATAACAGATGTATAGTCAAGGTTCAAAGAGTGTTTAGCTTTTTTGGATATGGAAAAGAAGCACTACTCTAAAGCATTACACAAAAAATCAAGGCAACAAATGCATGATGAGATTTGCCATAGTTATGTGGCAAAAGATGTGCTGTGACAATGTGTCATGTTCAATTATTTAACAAGCTGATGTGTTCTGTATTTTATGTTCTTGCACAGGCTTTAAGTCACAGTGAAGCTGTCTTTCATTACCACTTAGGCCAAATGATGACTTATTGTGAGTCCAATGTACATAAATGTATTTAATCCCTATATTTGTTTTATTTCCTTTAAATTAGTAAATACTGCTTTAAATTAGTACATGATACTTGCTGCACCCAATTCAGAGACAGAGCAGAGAGCTCTGTTTCAAGAAACTCTGTGATACACTAAAGCAGGGGTTCTCAAACTTTTTGGACTCAGGGACCCCTTTTAGATGAGCAAAATTTTCAAGGACCCCCTAACGCATTTTTTGAGGAAAGCAAAAAGTAAATAAATTTAAATCAGACGAAAGTGCAATTTTTATTCAAATATTTGAACACCAAGTACATTTGCTTCGTTTCAGCTATGCTAAAGTTTCCACAACAAGAAAATTAAACATTGCATGCCTCTTCAAAACAGACAAACTGGGTCAACTACCCCCAAAAAAGACTGCTGCCAACTGAATATTTTGTCAACAACAACAAAAACAACATCAGTAAAAGGTGCTATGTTGCAACATTGCCTCCACACCTCAAACATTTCTCTGACTCGAACAAGTCCAATATTATCAAAAAACGAATAAAATCAATGAGATGGATGTGCCTGCTTCTGACTACACAGTCTCCTTATTCTTGGAGCAATGGAAGACAGACAAACTCTCAGATCGTCTTCTACATGCAAACGTGCCCTGTATTTATTTTTCATTGCAGTCAAAGTGGAAAAGGAGGACTCGCATAGGTACGTGGTTGGGAAGGGGAGCAATATTTGTAAAGCTTTAGTTGTCAGTTCTGGATAGTCTTGTTTGAGAGACAGCCAAAAGTTAACAGTACTGACCTGTAGGAATCTGGCTCTCAGTGTCCTGTCACATGATACTTCCAGCAGTTGCTCTTCTGCCTCACCTGTGAGGCTATTGGGTGATCCAGGTGCAAAGGGGTCGCGCACCCAGTCCCAGGCATCAGTGTTCACTTCAGAAAAGTAGAAGCGGAAGTGCTGGCACAGTGACGTTAAATGTGAAGTAGCGACAGCCTGTACAACATTCACAGACAGTTTCTCAGCATGAAGAAAGTCACTCAGTTGGGGAAACATGTCCGTTATTCCGTCTTGTATCCTCCGTGCCCAGAGGTCCGTTTTCTTCATGAAGGCTGAGATTTTGTCACTAACCTGAAGTATTGATGTATGCGCTCCTTGGATGGAGAGATTCAGGCCATTCAATGTATTAAAAATATCCGAAAGATATGCCAATTTACATACACTCTCTGGATTAGTGAAAATCTCTGCGAGGTCGGGTTTTTGCTCTCTTAAAAACTCTCCCATTTCTTTGCGCAACTCAAAGACCCGCTGCAAAACTTTACCACGAGAGAGCCAGCGCACCTCCGAGTGATAAAGCAGCGCGTCATGCTCAGCATCCATGTCCCGGCAAAGTTGTCCAAACAAACGGGACTGCAGCGCTCTTGACTTCACAAAGTTTACAGCAGAAACAGCAGTATTTAAAACAGAGTGGAGATCCGGGTCCATGTCTTTTGCTGCCAAGGCCTGTCGATGTAACATGCAGTGCGTCGCTATGATGTTTGGGTTGACGGACTTAACGCGCGCAACAAGTCCACTTTTCCGCCCTGTCATAGCGGCTGCACCATCCGTGCAAACAGCCACACACCTGTCCCAGCTCAGACTCGCATCTGTCATGAAAGCGTCTACAAGTCTGAATACCTCCTCGCCCGTTGTTCTCCCAGGTAGCTCTTTGCAAAACAAGAAATCCTCCACAATATCATCTTCCCATGGATATCGCACCAACACAATTAACTGAGCGGCATTAGCTATATCCGTAGATTCGTCCAGCTGAATTGAAAACTGCTCACATGAACGCAGTCTGTCCAGCAGCTGTGCTTCGATGTCTGCAGCCAGCTCCTGTATTCGCCTTCTTACGGTGTCATTTGAAAGTGGAATCACTTTTAGCTTATTTGCAGCCTCTGCGCCAAGTATGACTTCACACATGTCCACTGCGGCTGGGAGTAAAAGTTGTTGTCCAATGGTGTGAGGCTTCTTACATTTAGCAATGCGTTGAGCCACCAGATAAGAGGCCATCTGCGCTTTTTCTGAAACTGAAGTTAACTCCACCATTCGTTTTTTCTGGTGTCCATATTCTTCTGCTTTGCGTTTGAAAAAGTCCTTAGATTTGTTTTTAAACTCCGGGTGCTTTGTGATGAGGTGTCGCTTTAGCTTCGCAGGCTTCATCGCCTCATTAGCAAGCACTTGCAGACACAAAGCGCATTTTGGTCGTCCATCCTTGTTTTCAATAAATCCGAATTGGATGTAGTCCTCACTGTATTTTCTTTGTTTAACTTTAGACAATTTACTTTTTTCCTTTTCCCCATTAGATGAAGTTGACGGTGTTAAAAACGCATCCATGGCTGAGTAGCTAGGCAGAACCTGCGCGCGTCAAAGCTCGTCACTGATAAGTGGACGTGATTTACGTGGATCTATTTTTTATTTATTTATATTTCATATAAAAATAGCAGATTAAACTTAGTGTCGATTTGTGAATATTCACACGGTTATATAAAATCGTGTAAATATTATTAATAATTAATATAAAATAAAATAATATAAAATATAGTTTTCTTATTAATAGCCAACCCTTTTCACGGACCCCTGGGGGTCCGAGGACCCCACTTAGAGAACCACTGCACTAAAGTACTAAGGTAGACGTGATGTCAATTGCAAGCAAGCAATTGAGCCATGATGGTTTGTGGGACTCCTGAGGCAGCTGTCCAGTATCGGCAGGTCAAGCGTGCCGCTGCTCGGGCTGTCGCAGAGGCCAAAACTGGGACTGGGAGGAGTTTGGGTAGTTCATGGAGCATGACTATCGGTCGACCTCGAAGAGATTCTGGCAAACCGTCCAGTGCCTCAGGAGGGGGATGCAGTTCTTTGTCAACACCGTGTACGGTCTGTCCTGACCATCTAAAGCATGGGATGCCCAAAATGGGGGCAAAAGTTGGCCCGCCGGAACGTTTCAGTTGGCCCGCCGAACGTCGTCCACCCGTGTTGCAAGTTTCTGTCTGTGGCCCTCAGACACGCTAGTCACACACGTATATTGCCGCTTTCCACAGTGACGGAACGGTATGGCACGGCCGTGTGCAGGTTCTTTTCCATACCTCAGTAGTACCTCCTCACGTGGGTAGGCTTATCATACCACGGCTGCCGTGACGTCATTTACGCAAGGTAAATGACGTCACGGCAGCCGTGGTATGAGCATGCACGTATAGTATAAAAACAATCTTTGGCTACTTGTCAAAAATTGAGCAAATAGCCTGAGAAGAATCCAGGCGGCGAGACACCAAAGAATGAAGAAATTATTGAAAACCGTACAGGAGTTTGTAGTAGAGGACAAGAGAAACTTATTAGGATATTACTCCGAGCGGGTCTCTCCTTCGCCCGCTCCTTATCTTCTGCCCCCTCCCATCGAGCCATCGGCTGGTATCAGCCCAAGTGGACCCAGTGTCCGTACCCCTGTCTTCCCTAACCGGTTAAGACTTGACTTGACGGCGAGGACTGGGACTCGGACGGACAGCACAGCTGCCCGGCTACATCTGTGTGCGCTCTGACGCGTGCGCCATGCCAGTCACTGCCGTGCTCAGTCACACGGGAGGAGCTCAGAGTAGAGCCGCTGCTTCTCCACAACGAGAGGAACCAGTTGAGGTGGCTCCGGCATCTGTTCAGAATGCCTCCTGGACGCCTCCCTGTGGTGGTCTTCCGGGCGCATCCCACCGGGAGGAGGCACCGGGGAAGACCCAGTACACGCTGGATGGACTATGTCTCTCAGCTGGCCTGAGAACGCCTTGGGGTCCCCCGGACGAGCTGGAGGAAGTGTGTGTGGATAGGGAAGTCTGGGCGCCTCTGCTTGGACTGCTGCCCCCACGACCCGGCAACGGATGAAGTGGAAGAAAATGGATGAATGGATGGATGGATCCGACCTAAGTGAAGACTGCACTTCCTTTTTGGTCAACAAGATGCAACTTCATATGCATATAGGACAGGAAACCAACAGAGAACAAAAGACCCTCCGTATTAGCATGTACAAAGCCAGACATTTCAGCATGCAATTTTTTTTAGCCACATGACTTATTAAAATGATTACTTAAAAACATTATAATGTCAGTTTCCGATATTGAAAATAGTTGACATAGCTACACATTTTGTAAAAATGTATCAATCTGTGATATGAGTTTCCATCAATTGACAGTTCTTAATTTTGAATCTGTAGTTATTGCAAGTACAGTGTTCCATCGCCATAACACTGTATGGTCCAAAACCTTGTAACAGCCCAAAGGCCTGTGTATATTTGTAAACTCAAATACTCAGGCAAACCCCTGTACGTAGTTTTGAAGAGATTGTTGTAATCCCACACCCCAACCACATGATTGGGATTTCACAGGAATTGCATGGGACAACACAGGTGTCCCATTATAAAGTTGCGCTAGATACTTTCTCCTCTTCAGGACAAAAAACAATGACTAACCAAGCTGTTTGAGATTAAGGAAGAAATTTTCATATCACATTATATCTGTATTCTTAGCTTAAGTTTTATGTGACGATATGAAAGACTATATTGAAGTGAATAAAGACGCTGAACACATTCCCGCATTTCTTCCCATGGAGCTGGGAGCGGACACGTCTGATTATCTTTTTTTGACCAATTCTGTTCAAAATTTTCCGCGGATCCGCAATTCCCAACTATTTTCCGCTGACAATATCATTGGACAGAATGATAGACGCGCGGACGACAAG